TCTGCAGGCGGAACCGGTCGAGCTTTCGAGAAAAGAACTGACGAGAGCATAAGCGGGATGTTAGGTGCGCCAGAGAATCAAATGTGTGTTTCATTCATTTACGTGATGAAGGTCACCAGCTTGACCGGAAAGACGCTAAAGTTATTCATAAATCTTCGAATTATTTTGTAATAAACATGCTAGAAGCTCTGTTAACCAGATAATTGCCTAATTTCAGCTTGAGTGCTGGCCAATTTGGCTTCGATGACCTCTTGTTCGTTTTGTCTCTGTACCACTATATAAACTATATAATACTCTCCATGTATCCATTTCGGTTAATCATTCGTATGGTGAGGAACTCGTGAAGAGTTTAAAACGTTACGATTTATTTTAATTTCTTATTGTGGCTATATATATATATATTCATATGAAATATATTTATATATATACAGTATAATATATATATGTACACACACACACACACACACACACACATATATATATATATATATATATATATAATATATATATATATATATATATATATATATATATTTATATATATACAGTATAAATATATATATGTACACACACACACTTATATATATATATATATATATATATATATATATATATATATATATATATATATATATATATATATATATATATATATATATATATATATATATATATTTATATATATATATATATATATATGTATATATATAAATGTATATAAATATATATATAATTGTATATAAATATATATATTCATACATACATGGAGGAGAGAGTGAGAGAGAGAGAGGGGGGGAGAGACAAAAAAAGAGAGAGAGAGTGAGAGAGAGAGAGGGGGGGGGATAGATTACTGTCACCGAAATCTGAATTAATAACATGCAATGACTATCTCCTCGTTCAGCGTGGAACTCGACGGCAAGGAGGAACTCGCAGCTGAGGAGGGAGAGCGCCGACTCAAGATGGCCGCCGCCTTGCTTCCCGGCCTCCTGCTGCTGGCGCTGAGCCGAGGCCTCCCTCTGGCCGCGGCCGGTGAGTCGCGAGTGAATTCGAGTTTCCCTTTTTCATTTACTCTGCAATCTGCGTTTTCTTACAACTACTTAGTTGTAAGACACACACACACATATATGCTGTATATATATGCGTACATTCATCTGTCACTGTGTTTGTGTGTGACAGAGAGATGGAGAGAGAAAGAGGGGGGGGGGTCTTTGTTGATTCTAGGAATTTATAATTTTTTCCATTGTTCATCTAATCGTGTGCCACAAATCATCTCTCTCCTAATTAGCGAATCTCATCCTTAGAGACAGAAGCCCTTCCTCTCGGCTTGCCTTCCATCAAGTATCTGAAGCCCAGCCAGAACTCTACCAAAGTCACCTTTCATATCTTCGCAAACCAAATAATTAACAATGTAACCCATTCCCTTGATGAAAAGTGGTATGCAGTCGAACTTTCCAAGGTGAGTTGTGAGTGATGAGTGTTTTAGCAATTACTTCCCGTGATGGCTATGCGAATATATAGTTGTATGCGTGTATGTATATCACCTCATGATTTTCTCCGAACAGAACGAAAACCGAACCTTAGTTCTCCGTATCCTACCTGATGTCGACAATAACTTCACCTGCTGCACAGACGAGAAACTGAGAAATTTCCATGCGTCCTATGAGGGTAATGTCCAATGGAGTGAAACGTGTCCTGAGGATTTTACTGTGTACTGCCCGGGTACAGAATCAGGTGAGTTTTAAATTACTGCAATGAAGAAAAAGCGTTTGTAATTGTTTCCTTTCTATTGTGTCTATATCAGATTTTAAATATCACATAAGAAAGAAATATAACACAAACATCTGAAAACTGCAAGGGTATCGAAGTATGTATTTTTTTTTAACATTGCATCACCCTTAAAGCTACCAACGATCACCACAACTCAGACGCTAGTTCAACCCAATACCAAGACACCAAACCTACTCATACAGCTTCGGATACTGGAAACTCGACCACACAGGAGCCTAAAGAAGATTCATCTATGGAAATGATCCTGTGGATTACATTGCCCACAGTAATAGGTATAACCACGATTTTGGTGGTGTCTGTGGCTTGTTGCCTGTACAAGAATTCGAGGGAGGATCAGCCACTGTCGGATGCAAGCGACCCACCAAGAAGCGAGTTGAATATTGGGGTGGAGTCTGTGGAGGAAGAAGCAGTCTAACTTGAGAAGAAGAATCAATCTGACTTAATCCAACCACCATGGATTTACGTTCTGACCCATGTAGGATTTTTGTGAATGTTGTTACATACAGATGGCTCCACATGTACTCAGCCGGCAAGGGGTCTATCAATAGGCCCCAGTGACCGATCCTGATTTCCCCATTCCTTGAATTGGCGGGAAAATGTGTTTTCTTTTTAATACAATTCATATCGATACTGTTATTATTGTTATTGATGTTATGATTATTGAATTGTTATTTAAATCTTGGTAACATTTAAGACAATAAAATAATACAAA